ATTGCTAATAGATCATATTACTGTTGTTGTGCATTAAATAAATGCATAAATTTTGCTTTATGCACTCGCGTGTGCAGTAATTTTGACAGTTGTGCTATTTTAAATTCCCAGGCGCCTAAAATCTTTGGCTATTAGTAAAACACGGAGCTCGGAGCACACGGAGCACGGAGCACACGGAGTACGGAGCACACGGGGCACGGAGCACACGAAGTATGGAGCAGTAGAAAAACGAAAATCCTTTATAATAAAATACACTGTTTACTATTACAAATTTTTGTTATTATTAACAAAGTTTTTTCGCGTATTACACGTTGGGGAAGTAGGAAAATGGGGCTTTTACTGAAAAACACATATGATGCAAAACCAGGCTGCCAAAAGCCATAGTATTTAAAATGGGATTGTGAAACTCGTTATCTTACATCTATCAAGCTTATGTAGTTGTATTATATTCCGATGGGCAACACATAAAGAAACACTTACTGTAGAGAACAGCCGATATATTTCGTTACCCCTGCCAAAAAATAGCCAAGTATACTCATCTTTCAATGTAGCGGATCGACTGAACATTAAATCTTGTGATGAGAAAAGTGAATTTTCGGTTTATCCTTCGGCTCAGTGACCGGTGGCAGTGAGCTGTACGGCCGGCTAAGTTTAAACCGTTACACAGTACATCATTACTGCTTTCATTCTTTCAATTCGTTTTGAATATTCGGAATCATTCACAATATTATAGAACTGTATAAGATAGCTGTAGAACTATAAATGCTGCAGAATGAAATAAATAAAGAAAAGTAAGTTTTCAAATCGCGGTATTTGCCGATAAATCGGTAATCGCTACAGAAAAACAGAACAAATTACAGTATTAAAATCACAACAAACAGCGGAAGTGGGACAATTTTTGTATTTTTACTGTAAGACATGCAGAACATGTACGAAATCCATACAGAAGTGAGTGTGTATTCTATACTTTTGAAACAACTAAATCAGACTTCGGAAAATTTGACCGTATTAAAGCTGCTTTTGGGAATTTAGATTTTACCAGTAAATATTTTTGAGTTTTGAATTTTGTGTATAAATCAACACCAACGCCTCAAAGGCGAAAAGGAGGGCAAGATTGTTAGAATTGCTATTGTAAACATGAGCAGTTTCGAGCATAAACATAAAATTGAAACGAGTAATTTTTACACATCTGATTGACTAAATTCAGGAACTGACAGGAAGCCATTTAAGTGTACGCGTATTTGTTACAATTCCGATCAACTCTGCCGTGAGTACGGCAGAGTAAATTGTAAACAAATTGTAAGCTTGTGAGAATCAAAGTTCAAAACTCAAAAATATTTACTGGGTACATGTAAAACAAAGACCTAAAATCTAAATTCTCAAAAGTAGCTTTAATACTGTCAAATTTTCCGAAGTCTGATTTAGTTGTTTCAAAAGTATAGAATACACACACACTTCTGTATGGATTTCGTACATGTTGTGCATATGTCTTACAGTAAAAATACAAAAATTGTCCCACTTCCGCGGTTTGTTGTGATTTTAATACTGTAATTTGTTGTTTTTCTGTAGCGGTTACCGATTTATCGGCAAATACCGCGATAAAACGTAGTTTTCTTTATTTATTTTATTCTACAGCATTTATAGTTCTACAGCTATCTTATACAGTTTTATAATATAATAGTGAATGATTCCGAATATTCAAAAGACAAAACGGATTGAAAGAATGAAAGCAGTAATTATGTATAACGGTTTAAACGTAGGCCGTACAGCACACTGCTCAACTGGTCACTGGGACGAAGGATAAACTGAAAATTCACTTCTCTCCATGACAAGCTTTTATAATGTTCAGTCGATCCGCTACATTGAAAGATGAGTACTTGGCTATTTTTTGGCAGGGGTAACGAAATATATCGGCTGTTCTCTAAGTGTTTCTTAATGCGTTGGCCATCGGAATATAATATAACTACATAACTCATAAGCTTGATAGATATGTGACGAGTTTCACAGGCACAATCCTATTTTAAATACTATGGCTTTTGGCAGTTTTGCATCATATGTGCAGTAAAAGCCCCATTTTTCTACTTCCTCAACGTGTAAAACGCGAAAAACTTTATTAATAAGAACAAAAATTTGTAATAAAAATTTGTAGTAAACAGTGTATTTTATTATAAAGGATTTTCGTTTTTCTACTGCTCCGTAGTTCGTGTGCTCCGTGCTCCGTGTGCTCCGTGCTCCGTGTGCTCCGTGTGCTCCGTGTGCTCCGTACTCCGTGCTCCGTGCTCCGTGTGCTCCGTGCTCCGTGTTTTACTAATAGCCGT